AAAAAAAATGGAGGAACTTAACTTTGACAAGAAGTTTAAACTTATTCAAAAAGAAATAATCCATTGGTCAAAGAGAAATATATTACCCCTTTAGGAAAAATAACAGTAGTAAAAAGTTTGTTCCTATCAAAGTTAACTCATTTATTTACATCCCTTCCCAAAACCTAGTTTGTAGTGGATACAGCTCTTCCAAAAAACTTCATATAAATTTATATGGGGGAATAAAGTTGATAGAATTTCTCGAAAAACATTGCAGCTGGATTTCAGAAATGGTGGATGTAGAATGACTAAAATAGAAACATTTATTAAATCTCTTAAACTAACTTGGATAAGGAGAATTTTAACTACTAATCCAGTTGGAGTAATCTTTTCTCAGAAATTACTGGATGTAATATTAACAAGCTATGTAGTTTTGGGTCTGAATATTGTTTTGGGTCTGAATATTGTAAACAAAGAGCAAAAGTCACACAAAACATGTTTTGGAAAGAAACTCTATTTTATTTTAGTGAGTTTATAGAGAGTTTTAATTTACATTCACTGAGTGAGCCACTGTGGTATGATAATAAAATAAAGAATTTAAATAAATATGTATTTTGTAAACCATTGTTCGATAAAGGGTTCGATCCATATAGTGCATGATTTATTTAATACAGAAGGCAATTTTATTAGTTATGAAAGTATCACAAATGATTATTTTATAAAATTACCTTTTACTACATACAAAGGTTTGAAGCAAAGCATTTTGACTGCATGGCCAAATATCAAACAATATTTAGGTTATACTTTTGTTAAACCATATCAACCAGAATTTGAAAAAATACTTTGTAAGAACAGAAAAGGATCCAGAAATATTTATGATTATTTAATGTCAAAAACACAGCACAGACCTATTTGTGAAAACAAATGGGATACTGATCTAAAATTAAAGCTAAATTTTGATTGGAAACATGTTTATGCAAACTTTAAATTGACAACAAAAGACTCAGGACTTATGTGGTTCAATTATAGAATTATCCATAGAATATTAGGTACTAACAAAAACCTATGTCTATCTAAAATAAAAAATTCACCGCTTTGTTCAATATGTAACTTAGAACCAGAATCAATCAAGCATTTATTTTTCTACTGTCCACAGGTTTCTGTGATTTGGTTAGCATTGTCAGATTGGATATTTCAAAAGAAAAAAGAAAAAAATCATAACAGTGAATATAAAGAATGGAAAAAAGAGGATGATCAAAAACTGTAAAAAATATTGTAAATATTAATGAAAAATTTCCATTTGGCATAGACTTAATAAATACACACACTGTATAATACATGAAGTTCCTAAATATTCCTAATAATGTAACTTGCACTTTTAGGCATTATATCACAGCTGAATAATTAAAAAAATCAATTATACATTCAAAATGATTGTCTTATTATGCCACAACCACCAAATTTTCATCAAAAGAATAATAATACAGTGTATAATAAAGAAGTTAACACAGCATGAAAGTCTGAGACAGTGAGTCAGTAATACAAGTACAACAAAACATCAAAAGAAATAGTAGCCCAGTATATAGAAAAGACTAAAAAATAAAGAACAGGATCTTTTACTATGTACCCAGTTTTGTGGAGAAAAAGCAAAATGCAATGCTTTAATTTCCTTATTCATTCCTCTGTAAATTATGGTGCAGCTGAACTTTGATATCTTGTAAATCATGATACATGTAACGTTAAAGTGATTTTGAGGTCAAAATCCACTAAATTCTCTTAGCATTTAACACTCAATAACTCTAATCTTCTATCTTGTTTTTTCCTTCGGTGGAGTATAAATGGAGTTTGAGATATACTGTAAAATCACATATTTTCTTGGGGTCTAAATTTCTAGGTTTGAGGAAAAAAATCTGGTTTGTTGGGATTTGATTTCATGGTTTTAAAATGTTAAGAAGTAATGCATATTAAATTCTACATTTCCAGGTGATCATAAATTCATGGGACTCTCCATACCTCAAAAGCAATGAAAATTAACCCCCCACAAAAATTAGTGATTTACAGTAAGTACAACTGACTGTATATATCTATCTATGCTTGAAAAAAAAAATAAATTTAATGAATAAATGATAGATAAAAAAGAAAAAAATAAATAAAACAAAAAAAGCACAAAATCTATACAAAAAAATGAAACACACACACACACACTTTGTATATTCCAAAGGAGACAAATCCAAAAAACTAAATTCATTAGAGTATTTTTCTTGTACAAAAACACAAAAATATTAAAATTAGGCCATAATAAATAAATTGCTAGATTCTCATCCGAATTTTTAAAAAAATCAAGTGGGTGGGTGGCTTTTATTTTATATTTTTTGATTTTTTCAATTTTGCAGATTTTTAAATTTTATTGACCTGGTCAATCAGTGTAATTTTATCTGTACAATACCCAAATAAAAGTCATACTAAAGGTTCAATTATCTCTTACTTCACATCATCACCAATCTTTTTCAACCAATGACCCTTGTTTAAAATATATACGCATGTATTACAGCAATTACCATCTTTTCAGCTGTCAAAATCATGTCGACTTTCGCGGGATTTAAAACGAAATTAGAATGATAGATGAATACCGATCCCGATTAGAATTAAATAGACGAAGAAAAACAGAAATAAAAAAATCGAGGCGGGGGTATAAAATCGGGGCGGGCGGGGATGAGAATCTAGGAATATTTTTATTATGGCCTAACCAAGTTTTACTGTAATTGAATCCTCTCAATTTCCTCAGAAAGTGGGGCAGTATATTGCAACTATTATATGAAATTATGGTCAATGATAAAAACCTCCTCCTTGATATGATCCACAACTCTACACAGTAAAAAAAGCGAAAATAAGTAAAATATATAACTTTTTTGAAGATATTCTAATTTCAAAAGAAAGAATTATTCATATAATTATGTTACTTTTTCTTCATAGAATTTTAAGTTTTACAGTTACTGGTTTCTAGAAAAGCACTTTAAAAAAATCTTGTGCAAGTTTTTCCATGTCTCATCTATGCTCAGTGTCTGTTATCAGACGTACAGCCTGTATTATAGCATGACTGTCTATAAACGCAGAATAGTCACATATTGTTATCTATTGTTGGTGTGTTTAATTTATTCTTATTTTTTGGTGATTTTTTCCAGAAGTCAGTGGCGCCTGTGGTGGCATATGAGAAGAAGGGACCAACTACAATGGCTTTTTATTTCAAGGTCAATCATCTAGATTTACAATCTAATTAAAATTAGATGTTAGATCTGCTCGCATACTTGCTACACTAACCTAACAACATCCCAAAGAGGGTCACGTCAGAGGTCAAATTCCTTCAACCAATCAAATTGTCGCCTGCAAAATCATTGTATATTGTTGAAGCCATGCAACAAGTCTAGAGCTGTTCCGAATTTGACCTCTGAAGTGACCCTCTATGGAATATTGTTAGATGTTAGTGTAGCAAGTATGCGAGCAGATCTAAGATCTAATTTTAATTAGATTGCTAGATTTATTAGGTGCAAGTTATGATGAGAAGGCTTTTAGCTCACCTGAGCTGAAAGCTCAGGTGAGCTTTTCTGATCACCCATTGTCCCTCGTCCATCCATCTATCCATAGCTGCATGTCTATATACAGACTAGAGATATAGTGTGCAAAAGATAATGATACAGGGTAACTTTTGGAAAGAAAGTCTTTAGTGGGGTGCATATGTCCAAATAATTTTCTATAAATTCTTTTCAGGGATGTCAAATCGATCAATTTTTTTTAAATACTTGGTTACTAGGACGTTTTTCTGATCGAGTACCCGGGTATTCGGTAAAAGTGTAAATAAATACGAACAAGTAACATTTATAACTGTAAAACATTGTAAACTCTTGTAGAAATAAAACTGTATGCTCCGATGGGAGGTTTACCCGTAAATCTGATGTAATAATTATAAGCACTTCATGCCTGATGAGACAAAATTTAATGAAAGATTTTTTCAAAGATCAATTGTATAATGTAATTTATTTATTAGATAATTCTCCTACATGTATAACAGAGCGGATTTACGATCTTCGTACATGTTTTCGATCCTATATTTTATAGTATTACGGGACGGTATATTGTAGTTTGATGCAATGATGGATATCAGTTTTTAAAGCCTTTGCCTTCAACCATTTGAATTAATTGGCATGTAATCAAACACAACCATATCAACAATTCATTCACATGTATAACATCATCTGTCTCTTTTCCTCAAGAATTTACGGCTTCTTATAGAATTGACAAAATTATCTAATTTATTTAAACATAATAGACCTTAAACGATGTTCAGTGAAAACAAATCATTAAAGCAAACAAAAAATAAGGGTAGAAGACAGTCGAAGGTGAGAAAAGCCAGGTACCAGGTGTTTGGTCACCATAATTACTGTATAAACACTGCCTCGGGCAATAACGGTCATTTAGAGGTGTAGAAAACCCTAATTATTACTGTATATACAAAAGTCCAATGAACATCTTACGTTTTAAAACCGATGTTTAAATGCATTAATAAATGAGCTTAGACACATTCAAAAATATATTCCGATTAACCGAGTACCGATTGTAGTATTTGATACCCGGACGTTCGATCGAGTACCCGGTTAACCTGGTACTCGTTGACATCCCTACTATTTCTAAACGAAAAGAAGTATTCAAGTGAGTGTCTCAAAGTTTTCAATTTTACTTACAAATCTGCTAAACTTAACATTTAAAATAATTACCTAAAGCATTATTTCAGCAATTGCAATCATTCATACTGTAGATGTCACTCAAAGCAAAAATACCTTATCTCTCTATTAATAGGAACAAAAACTTTTTGATTATTTGATTTTACTTGATTTTTCAAGGACCAGAAAAGAACCATGTACTCTCTCACTTTTTGCCTCAAATATACCTCAATCTTATTCACCAAATTTATGCTAGTTAACACTGCATGGTTCCCAAAACAGAAATCCTCTGTCCAATGTACCCACCTTACAGTAGCCACGTCAACATGGGCAGACCCGTATGTATCTAACAACATGGCCAGACTGCTCTCGTACAGCTCCCCGGCCAGTTTGTCGTTCTTGTCATCGTACACCATTCCTATGGAGCCCAGGATACGGGCCACCCTGGGGTGGTTCACGCCCACCTCGCTCCGGGTCAGCTTCAGGTCCTGGAGATAGTAAGCCAGGGCCTCGTCCACACGACTCTGGGTGTAACCCAACACTCCCAACTGGTTAAAAAAACAAGAAAATTTGTTTTTTTTCCAGAAGATAGGTGCTCTGTTTATCTTTATTTTATCATTAAAGTTTAAACCATAAAATCTCCTTAAATATATTAGGTTCAACACGAACATTATCATAGGTTCTAAATTCCTTCCAACAATTTAAAATGTCTCTATAAAATTTTGGTACATGTATATAAATTTGTAAAAAATTATATTGCATCTTGATTTAAGAAAGGTTGGAAACTTAATCTTCCAAATAATCTTGAAAAATTGTGAACCATTTTGGTTGGTAATTATCAGAAAAAAAAATATTCGTTTTTTCCAATTACTCTCCAAAACTGAGAACTTGCACACTGTACATTGCAGTTTGTTTTACTGTGTCAAAATTTGAAATATGTATACATATACAGTAAATCATTATTAATCCATATATTGGATTGATAAATTAATAGAAAATTGTTTATTAAGTCTATTAAAGTTCAAAGTTCAAGATTCATTCATGAGGACAACTATACCTTGTTCAGAATGGCTGCCACAAAGTGATGCTGTCTTCCTAACACCTCAGTAGCCAGCTCCAGGGCTCGTATCAAAAGTTTCTTAGACTGGGGCATGTCATTCTTAAGGTTCATTACAGCTGCCAATCCAAGAAGACCTTCACACAACTGTCAAAGACAAAAAGGACATGTATGTAATCACGTGAAGCTTTGAATACAATGTATTCAAAGCTAAGACCTGTGATATTTTTCAGCTATTCAAGGGAAGAAGCTGAAAGAATTAAAATGTGAGATTGATGGAAAATATTTGACAGGTGTCCTTTATGATGCATAACCATGGACAAAAACAGATGGTGACTTCTCAGACCTGAGTGTATAAGGTGACCTAAATACACTGCTTGTAAACCATCGAAGATAAAATACATAGTGAATAAACTGAATATCATATTCCCTAAACTGCTCCATATTATAAAGCTAAAGTATATACAAGTACCTGTAGTTTTTGTGTGGGAGTTACTGCCTTGTTTTGTCTGGTGATGGCATCTTCATAATAATATCGACTGGCATCTAGCTCCATCAACTTCTCACAGATCAACCCAAGCTTCTGCAATGCCTGACAATGACAATATTAATTATAATCTACTTATGTTAATTATAGGACAGCCCCTGGATGAGTTAAAAGTGGAAATAGGTTAATGATATTACATTGTCTCAATTTAGTTTTGAGTAAAATTCTTTTCAGTTTTTATGTTGGACAAACCAAATCAATGGATTTTTTACATAGTGTTGGTGTTGCACCTCTGTGTTTTACTAATTTAAAGTGAAAACCTTAATTGTTATCTCAGACTTAATGGGACCCAGAACAAACTTCAAGATGTCCAAGAATTCGAGCTATTTGATTTCTGAGATATTGATAGATCTGAGGATTCATGGTACATTTATTAAGGATGAAATACTCACAGAATTTGTAAATGAGAGTACAAAATCAGCTCGGCATATCTGAGATATTCGAGATATCAGTGTTTGAGATGCTGAAGTTTAAAAGTTACTCTATACTTACGTTGAGTACTTCTGGGTGTCTGGTTCGATACTTCCACTTCTGTGCGAAGGCACTGTACACCACTGTTGTGTAGTCAGCCTTGTATCGGGCTTCTATCACAGTAACTAGCATCTCATAAACCTTCCTACAATGGAACATGAAATGGGCATTTATGTTTTTTTTTTCACATGGTATTATTTTAAAAACATTTGTCTGGAATTTGCTTTACCTAAAAAGGTAGTTAAAACCAGTGAGAAATCGTAAAATTTTAACTGATTATCACAACAAATACTGTATAAAGATAATTTTCTTACAAATAAACATTTGGACTGGAATTGAAATAGAAGACTAAATTTAAAGTTCACAAAGGACAAGATAGATTAAGACCACCTTTTGGCCCTAATTTATGGTGTCTCTTAAAATAATGCAATATTTCATAATCAAACTCATTTTGTCATCCTCATTATTTTAAAAGATTATATTGATTTATAGTGATGAGAAAGATCATTCATCAACTTAAGAATTTTCTCATTTTACTCAAATTTTTCACAGTTTTTGTACATTTTGTTCAAGCAAAATACAGAGTGCAAGCTTTCCTATCTAGCAAAACATATAACATGCACTAGTATCAATGACTTCTTCAATTTTAGACTAAAACTAAATATTTTTTTATATCCACTTTTATCTTACCTGGCTGCCTTGTACAGTCCAAGATCCACAAAGAATCCCCCCAGGTCATCCAGAAGGGCGGAGTAGTTCTCTGTCCCTCGCTCCGATTCTGGGATCTCAGACAGCTTCTTAAAGTATTCCTCCTCCACTAATGTGTAATCTCCTAGCTAGTAAACAGTAACAGTACAAAACTGTAATTTGTGACAATACTATCTGTAAATCACTTTTTATTCACGAAAACTTTAATATTGTGTAATTACGCAAGACAGTTTGCTTGCGAAAATTTCATTCTCGCATTCCTTTAGATTGTATAGAGCAAAAGCCACAATTCGTGAAAAATAATTTTGTTTCGCTAATAAACAGTTGATGGCAATCTGGCTAAAAAATAAGGTATCATCAATATTTAGTGATCTAAAGTATGGTTTTAAAACAGTATCTGACTAATTTAAACTGTACAATCTTGACTCAAGTGGGATCAAATAATACTGTAAACCAATTATTTTTTTGCATGCCAGAAATCTTG